TGGAGTCCATCAGCAGCCCAGCTGTAATTTGCATGAACGTGAACAGTTTTGTCAGGAGCAGTGGGCAGTGCTGCCAAATTTGTCTGCTGTGTCAGTGAACACCTGATAGCAATTTAAGCTGTTGCTCATTAAATTTAAGAAAATTATTCACATATAGTTCAATGCTATATCAAAGGTTAAAGCTGTACCATGTAAGATATGAGGATTTGGAGACCTCTCTGGTGGAAATGTGTAATTGCATGCAGTATGTCCAGAGATGTGTGTGATGTTGTGCTTTGGTGCCCCTCACTAAGCGGATGAATCTGATGACAAACAGAACTCAAACAGGACTCAGTAAAAACTGACTGACGTACTTTCCAAAGATGTTTCCATTTGTGACTGAATGAACTTTTAACTTTTTTTCTGAACTTTTAATGTAAGTTAATGTAAAGAGGTTTAATTTCAGGTGATTTAGGAGGATTTCTGTTGCTCCACTTCATCATGAAATTGTTACACAATGTAAAGGACAGTCGTGTTCAAATGATGTAGAAAAATAAAAACCAACAAAAATGGAGACACGTCTGTTTTTTTGTTTGTTTTGTTTTTTTCTGCCGATATGCTAGTCCTGTACAACTTCACATATTTCAAATCAAAACCTGGACACTGGGACACTGTAAATCAGGGGCGTCAAACTCAACCTCTAAAGAGGCCACATTAAAAAATCTCATCAAATCTGTGGGCCGGAGAAAAATCTGTTTTTATTTCATTTTTAATGAATGTGCTGTAACACCAACTGGACTTTGTTTATTCAAAATATGCAAAAACATCAACAGTAAAATACAGACACTTGTAGTAGACCTTGAAATATTACATGGACTCTTGAAATATTCAAAGTTTAAATGTCCCCAGGTGCTCAGTCTTTTAAACCTACCTATTTGCTTTGGCTAGACACCTGAGATCCTTTCAGTGCTTCAAGTTCATTAAGACTCAGTTTCTGAGCTGCTGAGCTGACGGTCAGTGTTTATATTGGTTGAACTGCAGCTGAAATGCAGACAGTGTGTTTGGTGATATGACTGGTCTGGAATTGTGTAGAATTGAGTTGTAACCACTGTCCCATATATTTTTGTGTTGGTGGGAGAGTCAGAGCGTACATCACGTTGCAGTGCATTCTGGGGGTCCATACAGCTGGAGGAGGTTCATACTGAGACCTTGTACAATTACATAATAAACTTTATGCTCATTTAAACCATTTACAGTTTACTGCATTGATCTGTAATGATTTACTAGTGAAATAAATCATTTTGAAATCAGACGAATCTTTTTGAATCACCCTGCATTTTCCACAGCAGGAGAAGAGACTCCGTGACATGCCAGTGTTTGTACATGGGTGAGCGAGCCGAGCTTTACCTTAATTGGGGCGTAAACCAACTCTAGGAGAGGCTCTCTCAGTGGAAGGCACTTGTAGGTCCTGAAGAGCCTCTGCTCTCTTTCAGAAACCACACAAAGCCAGCAGGCCCTGCTTCAAGAGGAGGAGATCCAAAGCACAGATTCATCCAGTTTTAGCAGCTCGGCCACTACGGTATATATGGACATAGTGTACGTGGGTCATCATGCTGTACGGACGTCATGTGCACCAAATCTAAACGCTTATGACTGTGCTGGAGCAACAGGAAGCAGAGGGAGGGCTTGGGCTCAACTAAGTGCATTACTGAGAACAGTTTGGGCAGAAACAAAGCAGCCTGTGTTATTCTGCTCGAACAATGGGAGCGGGAGGGGAGCTGCTCGGGCTTTTATGTGCCTGAGAGACTGACCACTGAAAAACCTGAAGACTCCATTTGTGAAAAAGCAAGTGCACGCATCAGTAAGAGTGACCCGACCAGAGAGTTCAGGCTGAGAGAGGGAGTGATGCGCACCCTTAGTGCCAGCTTCGAGATAAGCTGCATATTTGAGAGGAAAACAGAAAACAGAAAGCCTGTTATAATTGCTGTTTTACTCCAGTCAATAAAGACCACCACCATGTCAGCTACTTCAGTGTTATTCAGTGGGATTCTGATTACTGGATTGGAATAAATCTGGCTATTTAATTGGCCGTTTTAAGGATTTAGTTCAACCCAAAAGCTAAAATCTGATCAGGTTGCTGTTTAAAAACAGGCTCCTGCTGATTAAACTCAGAAAAAGTAGAAGACGACAAAATAATCCTTATATTTTCAGGCATATTGTGATTCTGGTTGATGTTATTCACTTGTGTATACATGCAGCATACAGACCAATCGTTTAACCTGTAATTAAGAGTTAATTAAACGGCAAGAGGAGGTTTCTTCAGCCTTTTGCTTGAAGATCTTTCAATGACGGCAAAGACGGTGGTTCAACTCCGCTGAATAGACCCTGCATGGAGTAAAACCACAACGGTAATTGCGGCATCTTTGCTCCGCAAACATATGGATTCCTAAACACTCAATTAGATTAAGTGAAGAACATCTGGTGTTATATTATTATCCCGCCTCACACCTACGCACAAGCCTGAGGCTTCGGAATTAGACTTCCAATCACATTCATACATCAATCATAAACTATAGTGACACATTTATCATCGCAAATCTATTAGCACAAACACGCTTGGTCATGATTTACATATTTATTTAGTTTATTTTCTTATTCCCTTTATTTGCCAAACAAGCCAGTCCCCTTTATAACCATAAACATAACCGAGGGGCTTCCTTCTTATGTTAGGCCAAATATTGAGTCACGTCCTTCCACTGGCTGACCGCTATACATTCAGAGAGTCAATTAAACCAAGCAACATATTTAAGATAATGCAGTGTGTAGTCCAGATATCGGTTTAAAAAGGATTTGATGGCTTCATGAATCTGTTTTTGATTAAATAAGGTACACAAATGCAGTCTGAGTCTTAATTTCCATTTAAAATCCTCATTTTGTTTGGGTTACAGTGTCCTCCACATATTTTGGCACCTCTAAGAAACGAGCTGTAAACACCATTTTGTATCTTATTCTTTTGATCTTTCATTTCAAAATAATAACAAACATATAACCTTATTTAATGAAAAACTATCATAAAATTAATATTTTTTTCAAATCTTTGTGTTGGCACCTCTAGAAATTCTTCTTAGTGAAGAAGTGAAATCTAACTGAAGTGTTTTTCCATTCATATGGAAATGGAGGCTGGATCGAGATCGAGCAGCCGAAAAATCTCCAAGCACCACAGCTGGGGAATTACACACATTCGTCAGGTCTTGGGTCAGAAAGTCTCCCTCTCCAACTACAACTCTCCACTGTTGAGGACCGACAAACTCAAATGCTTACAGTTACTGAGACTTTGAGAATTTACTACAATAAGAGCTGCAAGATTTGGGCAAAATATCCAGTTGTGACTTTTGTGACCGCGATTTAAATTGTGAATATTTTCTACAAGTTAAGCTCCAGGTCTGTTTTTGGGTAAGAAGACCAGAATATCCATATTTTGTAGCTGGAGGATTGAACGCAGCACAGCAGACGGCCAGTTAGCTGCAGTTGAGGGTGCCTGGTTACTTCTGACTGGCAAGTCATCTACAGGCAGTTTACCAGATCTGTCTCATTAGGTTAAACTCCCCCCACTTAAAACATAAATTGTTGTTAATGTAAGCTAAAATAAAATTTCGGCTCGTTATTTGAAAATCACACTCTTTCAAACTGCGATTTTGATATAAAAACGATTCATCTTCTAGCCCTGATTTCCAAAGACCAAAATAGAGCTTTTTGGCAAAAGTAGCTTTGGCATAAACACAAACACAGCCCTGCAGAAAAGTACCCGATCCCCACAGTGAAGTACGGTGGTGGATCTGTGATACTGTGGCGCTGCTTTTCTTCCAAAGTTCCAGGACAATTTATTCAGATCCATGGCATCACAGACTCCATCAAGTACCAGCAGATTTTAAATCAAAACCTGACTGGGGGTTTAAACCAGGTTGTTGTTGGATCTTCTAGATCAGGGTCAGCAACATGTGGCTCATGCGGCTCTTTTACTGCCCTGTTGTGGCTCCACAGCAGAATCAGGTTTGTAGGTAAAAATAAATGGTCTTAAACTCTGGAGTTAATGTAGAACTGCTAATTCACCCTTTAACCCCGAAGATCAGCACAGACTGCTGGTCACCATAGCAACGCAGACAAGTCTCACCTAGCTAGTAGCTAACAAAACGGCAAAGAGAAAGATTTAAGATGAACATCGATAATTTGGAGATTAATGGATTTATTAACATTTATAATCACTCCAGCTTCGCGTTCGGATTTTCCCGTTCCACCTTAAATGGTGCCACAGTTACATTCTGGCACCTCAGATGCCATTTAAGGTGGAACGAGAAAATTCAAACAAGAAGCTGGTGAACCAGAAGCGACTTCAGCCTCGTAAAAAGTATAAAGTTGAGAGACATTTTACATGAAACTGTTATACTTTTGTTGAAAAGTTTCCTGCTGGAGATGCAAGAAAAGCGGCTATAGCTGAGCTAAAGCTTAAAGCAGAGCAGAGTAAGTCTGTGTTTTTTAGTCTATACTAGGACATCAGCACATTAATCAGCATATTAAGAGATAGTTTCAGCCAAGATGATAAAACATTACTTTAATAAAATGGACATAAGATGTTGTGGCTCCCAAAGTGGACAGATTTTTGTTAAAAGGACAACATTGCTCTTCTTAACATTTGGGTTATGACCCCTGTTCTAGTAGGACAGTGATCCAAAGCAGACCTCAAAATCAACACAACACTGACAGAATCAAGGTTTTGCCCTGACCATCCCAGCCCTAAACTAAACTCCAACAGATAAAACCCACACCAGCATTCATAGAAGGCACTGTAAATTGCCTTCACAGCCCTAAAGTAAAGAAATGAGGAAAATAAGGCCCTGGAAAAATAACCACCACTCAGGAAGCTCAGGATGACCAAATGAAGGACAACGCCAATTCTGACACCAATGCGAAAATGTGAAAAATCATTATGTGCATGGCAAATAAAATAGCCGCTCAAACAAGAATCCATTTAAGATGTTTTATTTTCTTCTTTCTGTCAACAATCAGCTTCTGTTCACATTTCATTTCTGATACAAATAATCTGCTAAAGAGCTGATCTCACAAATAACATAATGTAGCACCAGATATTAGTGTAAGGTGCTGTTATCCAAAAGACTAAGTATATAAAGTGTTCCTGTTACATCCAGTTAATACATTTCACTTACAAAAAGCTGTCTGACATGTTCGCTCCTGTACAATATGATTCTTCACTCTTGTACAAACCTGTCATGTTATTTTAATATGTACACACCCATGATAAAAACAGCTACCTACAGTTCTTAATCGCATGGAAAATATATAATAATTTAAAACAAGATTAAATACCTTGATAATGTGTCAACACAGTGGTTCCAAAACTTGCTCCTGGAGAAGGTACTGCGTAGTTTGGTGTTTTCCTGTCTAATTAATATGCTAATCAGGCCTTCATAAGCTGAACTGGGTTTGTAAGGGCAGAGAGAAGACTAAACTATGCAGGGTGGGTGCAGGACCAGGCTTTGGAGACACTGTGCTCACTGAAAGGCATGTCAGTGAATGTGGCCTGTGGAAGTGCATATTGCCACAAGCCAGTTTTTAAAGAATTATCCCAGTGTTTTTCAAGCTAATCTCCATCTGCCAGCTTTTTTTTAACCTGAAAATATGAACATACATCATCTAGAAGATGAAGAATATTTAAATCCTTCATTTCGTGTTTGGTTTCAGCGTCGATCTAAAAGTGTTTTGCTGCGTCTCGCGGCGACGCTGCTCGCTTATTTCTGGTACCGCCGTCTGATCTTGCGCATGTGTGAAATCCGAAAGAAATCAGTGTAAGAGTTTACATGCACTGAGAAATCTAATTACTGAGCTAAAATCCAGCCCCTTTATCAGATTTCTTAATCGGATTTCTAGATCAGAGTATGGTGTTTACATGACCATTTGAATAATCGAATAACTGCAGAAATCCGATTATGATCGGATTATTGAGTGCATGTAAACACACTCAATGCTGTTTTGTTTGCAATTTATACCTCATGTGTAAGTTGATGTGCTTTGGTGATAAACTAATTCACGGCAGTAGTAGCTTGGAGTAGTTTTCCCAAGAAAGCCATCAATGGGATCTGCCATTTAAAACCTGTATTTGAATGATGGGCTGCAACTGGGAAGGAGCAACATACAGCTGGGCTTCAGGGTGGAACAAAGGGTCAAACAGGGAACATGCATTCACTCCTGTAATTTTTTTTTTTAAGAATTTTGTGATGTTAACACTGAAAAATGTTGACTTTTGCACTTCTATTGTAGAAGAGTTTTGAGCCAATGGTTTGTGTGTTTGGTTACTGAATACAGGAAAGTGCATGAACCAGCGTCTGTGCTGGTCAACAATATCCTACAGACACAGCAGACTGAAGCATTTAGGCTGAAAAACACTGGAGTATTCCACTGATAGAGAAAAGAGCTGCTGAATCAACCAACATTACTGGCCAAAGTCAGGATGACCAGTGGACTCAGGCCTACGTTTGGTCATGTTTTCAGGGTGAAGTCAGTCTTGGGGCGGCACAAGGAGCCTTAGTGTGCCCATCATCCTCCAGCTCTGTACAGCCTTAGGACGGAATGAGAAAGCCGCAAAGTCTGACTCCCCAGAAAGCCACATATGTGCATGTGTTCAGGCCGGATGCTCAGCAGGAGCAGTTGCCGCAGCCCTTCACGCTGTTCAGGATCTCCTCCTGCAGCTTCCTGCGCTCCTCCTCCTTCTGCGAGATGCGTTCGGCCTGGGCCGTGGGCTTGCTGTTGCTGTTGCTGTTCAGGACCTTGCTGTTCTGTGTGTGCCACAGGTCGGCGTACAGACTGCCCGGCAAGCTCAGGAGTGTGTGGTGGTCACCCCGCTCTGCTACCTTCCCCTATGGAGATAAACATGAGAAAAGCTTGATGAGCAACAAAAAGGCAGAGAAATATGGTGAAGGGAGAGGCAAGAGAGAATGAGAGGAAAGGAACGGACAGCAGAAAGAAAAAGGGAGAGGGGAGGAATGAGAAAAAGAGGGAGAGAGTTTAGATAAGCGAGAAAGGCGGATAGAAATATGGAGTAGGAACAGAGAGGCAGTGGACGAGACAGAAACAGGAAAAGGGATTAGATGTGACAGAGATAGAGAGAGATGGGAAGGACAAGATGAAAAGAGAGAGGCAGAAGGAGGGAGAGGGGACAGAGAAGAGAAAAAAGGGATACAAGGAAAGAGAAGAAATGAAACCTAGAAAGAGGAAGAAGGAGAGGGGACAGTGAAGAGAAAGTTAGGGGATAAGGAGGGAGAGGCAATGGAAAAGACAGAAAGAGGGATAGAGGTAGCGAAAGAGATAAAGGAGAGAGAGAGAGGAGGGAGAGGTGATGAAGGAGGAGAGAAAAACAGGGAGGAAGAAAAAGAGGAAGGGGTATAGAAGAGAGAGAGGGAGAGCAAATTAAAGGGGATGGAGAAGAGGGAAAGACAGTTTGGATGAATAAAAATGGAATAAAGGAGGGAGATGGGATGGAGAAGAAAGAGGGAGTGGGAAAGAAAAAGGGGATCGAGGAGAGAAAAGGAGGGAGAGACGATGAAGACAAAACAGAAAGAAAGAGTAAGAGAGGATAGAGAAAAGAGACAAAGAGGGGATGGAGAAGAGAGAAAGATGGAGAAGAGACGTAGAAGTGAGAAAGAGAAATGGTTGGAAATGAGAGAAAGACAGGGAAAGATGAAAGGGGATGGAAAAAAGAAAGAGAAATAGGGAGAGGGGATGGAAAAGAAAGAGAACGAGGTAGAGAGGAAGAACAAGAAGGGAAAAAGGGAGAGAATGAGTGAAAGGAGAAGGACAAGAGAGAAAAGAGAAGAAGGTAAAGGGGATGAATAAGTGGGAAAGGGGGAGGGAGAGGGGGGGCATGAGAGGCAGAGAGGAGAGGAAAGGTGGGGGTGATTATGAGAGAGAGTGGGTTAAGAGGGTGCATGAGGGAGAGTAGGAAGAGAGAGAGAGAGGGGGGGAGAGAGAGAGGGAGAGAGAGACATTAACTCACAATTAAACTCGCGGAGAGCAGGCAAGGTTAATGACAATTTACGGTGTCTATTTTTTGCCGTGGCTGTCGTGACAGAGCCGCTCGAGCACGGGAGCATCTTACGCTTCTGCAATCTAGAGCTTTCCACGTCTTACACTGCTCTGTGCAGTAATCGATAAACAAAAGCTACGCTCGCTCGCTCTCACACACACACACAATCTGGCAGTTCATGCGGGCTTTGCCTTGGGAGTGCTTTAAGAGACTACACGAGGGTATTATGGCGCCATTCAACTGTGCGTCATCAATAGAAACGCATAGTCTTAAATGCGCGTAACAGGCCGGCGGTGCAGCTGGATGCAATTCTGAATCAAATGGGAGCACCAAGCTGATCAGCAACGAGATGAGGGGCAACGGCAGATGAGCCAAAGGAGGAGCAGGAGGGAGGGAGGGAGTGTGTATGTGTGAGAGAGAGAGAGAGAAAGAGAGAAAGAAAGAGAGAGAGAGAGAGAGAGAGAGCGCTGAGACAGACCAAGAGACCGAGAGAACACACAGCGGCCCTGAACAGGCACACAGGCTGTGTGTGGGCGCGCTCGCAGCACTGGGTCTTAAAAGACTGCCAGCAACAAAGCAAAAGTATGAAATTAGCTTGCACAATGACAGCCGAATATGTCTCCGGGCTGTTTTCTAGTTATTGCCACAATTACTACACTGCTCCTCGCTGAGAAAGGCGGGCTAAAGCACCCCGCATATTTTTAGCAGCCACTGCATTTTGCAGCAACATGATGCGATTGTGACCCACTTCGAGACACTAGGAGGAAAAGGTCTGGAAAAAGGGAATCCCACCCAAGTTTTATTCCCTCGATCCCCATCAGGCTGGTTTAATATAGAGCATCGCCTTATATTGAGTTCGATCAGATATTTGCAGAAAACACAGCCACTGTGCACTCTCATACACACCAATTACTTTAACGGGAAATACTACCAACTTAAATTTTCTTCACAATGCAATCGTTAAAGGGTAATTCCATTAATTTTTTTTTAAACTTTCTATATGATTCAATCACTACGATGTAAACAAAGTTATTCAGACTGGTTTGATGTGAAATGGTTCACTGTGGATAAACTTATAGCTCAGATTTCTTTACAGTGGTGGTGAACCAGCCGTCACGATAAGAGGGATAGAAAGAGCAAAAGGAGATGGAGAGGAGATGAAGAAACAGAGAAAGAGGGAATAGAAAAGAGACCAAAAGGAAGGGGGAGGAGAAGGGAAAGACAGAAAGAGAAGAAGAGTGGATAGAAAAGAGGGAGAAGGGACAGAGAGGAGAGAAAAAGAGAAGTCAATATCAAAGTTTATTTATATAGAGCTTTTTATAACAGGTGTTGTCACAAAGCAGCTTTACAGAAAAATCCCGGTCTGAGCCCCCATGAGCGTCGCCAATGGCGACAGTGGCCAGGAAAAACTCTCTAAGAGTAAGAGGAAGAAACACTGAGAGGAACCAAGACTCAAAAGGGGAACCCATCCTCCTCTGGACCACACCGGATAGCAAACGGCATTAATATAAAATAACAGAATACAAAACGGGGAAAAACAGGTGGAGCAATGGTTAATAAGATAGTGTGAGTTTATGCAGCAGCAGCAGCAGAGAAGAGATAGAGATGAGAGAAAGAGGATAAATAAGGAAAAAAGTGGATAAAGAATAAGGGCATTAAATACTTTGGGTGTTTGATTCTTATCAGCACCACTGTGAACTCTTACACATAAATTTGAGCCCAACAGTTTAACAAGCTGAAAGAAATGCTTAATTTGACTAGTCAACTAACCAAAACTATCAATATCATCTACAATATCAATAATAAGAACATAAATAGAAAATAACAATAATGCTAATCGTTGGTACACATGGATATCCAGTTCAAAGAAGAATGTACTTATTTTTCATGCACACTGTACAAATACTGAAACTATTTTAAAGTTCCATTTAAAGACCTTTTACACTGTGCTTTTGATTTACACGACTGACACAACCCAAAAAATAACAAATACAAAACAAAGTTAGTGCAGAAGCATCTCACACTGCAATAACATAGCATTTAATTATGTTATTTTAGGAAAATTGTCACATTACAAAATCACATCATTCTGCCATTTTGAAAAACATAGATATTTATTTTTTCCCAATTTTTTTTCTTTTCAGTCATCGTAATTAACACTGTAAAGTTTGGTCAGTAGGGGGAGCACTAACTGCTCAACCTCAAATTCTGTGTACGAGCACAGCCATTGGCAAGCGAGCTGCTGAATGCTGTTGTTTAACTGGCTCCCAACCGAAACATCTGCATGAATAATGCCGTTTTCATGTAAATGATATGTAAATGAGGTGCTGGTGGGCTCGCGCTTCATTTCACGCACCGAAGCTGATTTATTTGCACTCAATTCTCATTTCATGACACAGTAGTTCATGTCATTAAAGACAAATCTGCGCCATTTTTGATGTAACTGTGATGAATAAGTGTCTTACATAACACATATCATACTGCACGTTAGGCTACGTTCACATTACAAGCCTCGCTGCTCAAATCAGATTTTTTGCTCAGATCCGATCTGTCTGACACGATGGTTCACACTCGTTTAGGTAGGTGATTCAAATCTGTCATTAACGTGACGAACTGGCGTCAAGAAATGACCCTCATGAGCTCATCCTACTCAGTAACATCACGTGAATGAATCACGTTCATCATCAGCACAAACTAACGAGCAGAACGAGCTTCGCTGAGAAGATAATTAACTCTGATCAGCTCTCAGCTTCATTATTAGAGCGAGACGAAGGGGAAAAAGGTGAGATGAGCTGCTTTTCCACCTTCTCTTCGGCGCTGCTGCCACAGTAACGCTGAATGATGGCGCAGTGGAAAAAAAGCACATGAATTCCGATCTGAGCGTCACATTAAGGTCGCATGGCCACGAATCAGATACGTATCCGATCTAGGACCACATATGAAACATATATATGGTTATATATAACACATATGGTTCACATTACCAGGTTGAAGTGGCACAAATCCGATTTTTCTGCCCTAATGTGACTCAGATCCGATGTTTTCAAATGAGTCACATTAGGGCAAAAAAATCAGATTTGTGCCACTTCAACCTGGTAATGTGAACGTAGTCTTACTGCTTAGACTTAGACTTAGACAGACTTTATTGTCATTCAAATTTACACCGTACAGTGCACATTAGAACGAAATTACGTTGCATAGGCTCAGAGTAGATCAGGGAGAATTACAAGTAATACAGTGTAGTGCAAAGTGCAATGTAGTGCAGAGTGTGGCGCATATGCAAACATATTTATGTCAACAGATAAATAAATTCTAAATAAGCATATATACAAGAGGGTGTATTGCACTGTAGCTCCCAGGTATGGAGTAATTACAAAAAGAATTGAAGCAGCAGTTATTTAGAGTTCAGCAGTCTTATTGCATGTGGGAAGAAGCTGTTTTTGAACCTGGCTGTTCTGCTTCGAAGACTTCGGAACCTCTTTCCAGAGGCTAGCAGCGAGAACAGTCCATGGTGGGGATGGGAGGGGTCTCTGTTTATGTTCTGAGCTCCGGTCAGACAGCGACTTGTTGCAATGTCCTGTATGGGAGGAAGCTGCTAAGCAGCTGCCGAACTATTCTGCAGTTCCACGCTGCAGAAATGTAAGCCATTTATATTTCTGAAAACGTGTCTCACTGCTGTTGGCTGTTTACCTCCCTTCTACGACAGCGCTATAAAGGGGCTGCATTGGGGTCAAATACCCTTAACAAAAGATCAAAACTAACCACCTGCAATGCCCAACTTTCAAATCGGATGAGACATCACAGCCTGGAACTATTCACAGGACAAGCATGAAC